AGGTATATTTGCTGCATTGTATTTTCACTGAATCATCCCTTCATTGAAAATAGTGAAAATAGATTCCAAGTGAAAATAAAAATTTTTACGTCTGGACACTTTATATTTTAAATTTTTTCAAAACCCATACTTAAACATCTTTCAGGATAAATGACCAATAATTACACTTCTACATCATAAAATAAAACAAATCATACTACATAATTTAATTTTTAAGACATACGTTTTCCTTTAAGGGGGTGGTAGAGGTGATAGTATCGGTATGTAAAATAGTCGTATACAGCACTGCGTAATTTGTTCATTCATGTAAGTTGTACAATTGTTAGTGTGATCACTTATTAATGTAAAACTTTTAATTGTCATGGATCAATAAAAGACATTACTGGCACCTGCAGGTTGTAGTCTAGACTGAGATAAAATTAAATTGCATTGCATGTGTTACTTTCTATGAAATTATACGACACGTTATTGCATTGATAATAATACTTGCTTGTCGGCACATAACAATCAAACTCATTTTCATGAAAGTTTGAAACGAAATGAAAATGTCAGAGAACTTTGACCTGAAATGGACCCCAATCTTTTCTCTATATGTGTATCTATTACGGTGTCATTTTTGCGAAAATACAATTATGCTTTTTTTCAGCATCTTAAAGGGGCTTGATATAGACTGTGTCATTTATGGGTGAAGATTATTTGTTTTGTTAAGGGGGCCATATATTTCAGTAAATCCTAAATGCATTTATGTCGTTTCCACATGATTCATCAGGAAATAGTTCTCAGACAGTCCTTGTGTTGTCATGACAACTATGAGTATGATGTTTCTCCCAAACAACTACCAGTGTGCTCCGTTTCCATTGGGGAGTATAATTCTATTGTGAGTGCACGGTTGGAATTGTGAGCCATTGTGATAGATGTGTTTATCAATATATTTATCAAACTTAGATATGATAAATTGAGTATATGACAGTTATGTCAGTCATGTTTTGTTTCAAATAACAATTTGGAATACTGGGTTTTTAAAATCTTAACCAACTCAGTGGAAATACTTTCTTCTTGTTGCCACTAGATGGCGCTACAATATATATGACTACCAATAAAAAAATTATTATCCGTATCAAGTTTCTATAGTTGACCCCAGCTACTATTTCTATTTGTGGTTGCAAACCTGAAGGTTTAATATCATAAATAACTCCAATTTTAATGCTTGATCTCATATTTCTGATGTTTTTATTTGTAGCTATTTCTTGTAATAATAGTCTTACACAGACACTGCCTAATGAAGCACTAACCTACATCTGATTTTATATTGTTACATTTCACAATATAATAATTCTGCATAATTTATTTTTTCAAAATAATCAATTTAATTTGATCAACGGCTGCAGCCAACAGTAAATTATTTCGATTTGGTCAAAATGTTAAAAAGTCAATGGAATTATAAGAAGAAATATTTCACAACAAATTTAAAATACCGTAGTTAGCTCCAGCATATTTTTTAGTGGGGAAAAATATTTTCATAAGGATAAACATTTTTTAGACTTTCAGGATCTATATGAAAAAAAAAACTGTTTTATTTGTATCTGTTCTTTACAAATCACAATGTATTTAATGTATTTATACTCCACAAGAATATTGGTGTCAATGTTTGCAAGTTTTGTGTTATTTAATTTTAATACTGAGCAGAAAATAACAAATACTACATTGATTATATTATGTTTATAACAAATTTTGATCATAGATTTTAAACTACTTGGTATGATCAAAAACTTATGGAATGACTAGATTTTGGGGAACAATTACAGTAAAATTTATTAGTGGCCACCATGCATTTATTATGCGCAAACACAGAATATTTTGACAATTAGGAAAACATTTGTTTTTGTTCAATTTCAGGTTTGAATGCACAATTATACTACGTACGTAATGGAAAAGTTAACGACCATGCAGTGCGATTCAATTTACCAATTCCATCTGATGTGGGTTACTTGAATTTTACATGGTATACAACAACTGAGACACAGGTGAGTAGATGTCAGTATATAGTTTCCACTGTAGTTGTAATTAAACAGTATTGATTTTAACTTAAATTCACAATTCTACTATAAATTGTTAAGTAATTTGAAATATTTTTTTGCAATTTGATTAATTATTATTATTCATGAGGTCATTATTATTAAGGACCTCAGTAATTCATTATAACAAAATTTTGAGATTTTTCTTAACTAACAAAATTCATTCCAAAAAGTTGTTTGAATATCCATGATTCAGAAATGTATACAACATCTTTCTTTACATGTCCATAAAATAACCAACTTCTGTTAAGTGACACCTAATGAAAGTTATCGTCAATGCACATGTGTATAGGGGAGGTTTAAACAATTTTACATATTTATAGCAGCCATATTTTGGATAGCCTGACATGGTCGCACAAGTTGTGCCTTTTGCGGTGCCCCAAACCCAACACACGCCTGACAGAACGATGTAGTTTTTCACTTTCCCCAACGATTTTTAGCTCCGCTGATGACTTTGTCGAGCGGAGCTTATCATATGAGTGATTGTCCGTCGTCGTCGTCCGTGTCAATTGTACATAGCGCAGACAAAGTTCGAAAAGACCAATCAGAGAAAAGAAGTAAAATAAGAGGCATTGTTGAAAAGAATAAAAGAAGTTTATATTGATAAAATATCAGTGTTATTGTCTTAAACAAAAGTTTATTTTATTTCTCTTTGTGTCTTTCAGGTTTTCTATTCCATGGATTTAATTTCAGAAAATTCCTCCATTTTGAGGCATCCTATTGTAAATATCTCACAAGACGGGGAGGTACCTCGAATAGAAACAGGTAAATAATATTATTGTGGCACAGTGCTCACATGATTTTAAGCAAATTGTTATCAATATGTTTATGCTTACTCTAGACAATGTTGGTGACCATAGCAACCAGAACCATTTCCATAGCAACTACAGTGAAAATCTGCTGTCTGTCAATTTTACAAACATATACCAGTAGCACAAATATACTAATCTCATCATTTGTTTAGTTTTTCAGATTGTCCTGTTCTGTACAGGTTTAGCAGAAGCGGAAGTTGGATTATTTTTTCAGTTTAACCTAACCCTACATTCATACTCGGCAAAAAATATTACAACACTTAATTTTAAAAGGAGAAAAATGTGTCCTATAGGTAAGTATAACTATATTTTGAACTATCAGAAAGTTTCCCCAACTTTGTTCCAAACTTGCTAAGTTTAAAGACGCAAAAAATATTTTTTTACAATTTATTGACTGAGAATTGTGTTTATTGCACATAGTTGTGTTTGTTCAATGCAAAGTGAAAAACAGTAATACGCTTATCCTTATTAAAAACATGATCCACAAAATAAAAATCCCTTGTTCAAGCTGAACAATATGTTTGGTCAATGTCACTGCTATAACATTCAACAATATTTTATGTGAAAATCCTTGTAAAATTTCTCCGGTACTTCAGAATGAATTAATGATATTTTTTTTCTCAGATGAAAAATACAAAGGGAGAGAACAACTTGTTACTGATACGACAACTAAAGGGGAGATAATCCTATCAAACTCATCTGTAGCTAGTAAGTAAACTGTTTATCTGCTATCAATTTTTTGTGCTCTCATAATTTAAGGGCATGCATTCACAGTTTGACAATAGCCACTTGAACTTCACATCCTGATGTTGTACTCTGAGAACATTTACTATAAAATACTTTATTTTCGCTTGGAATTCATTTTCACTATTTTCGCTGAAGGAATGGTTCAGTGAAATTATAATCTAGTGATTATACTTTTTTCCTATACTTTACATTCAACTTGTCAAAAATCAGTGAAATTAAATTCAATAAAAAACACCCAAAATGTCTTTTCAGCGAAAACTTATTCCAGTTAAAATAAAGCATTTTACAGTATATTGCTTTATTGGGGTCTAGGAACTATTATATTGCAAATTCAAACACACAATCAAATAGATCACTGACACACGTCAGTGTTCAGATGTGCTAATGAGTATTTGAAATTAAAATGTTTACTGTCCATTTCCCACAGTCCATACAAATTCTGATGATCAAATATTTTATATAATAGTTTAAGACAGCTAAATGAATAATATCAGAGTGCAACTTTAATGACCCACAAAAAATTAAAGTCGTTTACCGTGTTTATCTCTTCACTGGGGGAAATTGTTGATATTTTGCTCTTATATTTTTTCAACAGAATACTTGATTTATTTATGTGAAAAAAATATATATATAAAATGTAATAAATAAATGCAAAGAGAGCAATTATGTATAAATTAACAATTTATTATGTTAAATATTTATTCATGTTTTTCCCAATATTTTGCATGTATCGTCGTCACCAGCAATCAAAAAAACTGTTGTTATGACATCATGTTACAGTTTTCGCATACAGCGTAGATTATTATAAACAGAATAACCAATTATTTTGAAAGTTTATTAACTAAGTTTGCTATTTTTCTCTTTAGTTTCAAATCAACTCCATCCCAGGGCAGTGACCTCTACTAGCGTGTTCTACATAGCTGTTGGTGTAGTCTGCGGAGTTATTTTCTTGATTGCCATGATTGTGGCTTTTGTACACGTCCAATCAATGAAGCCATCAGACAGAGTCAGGTAAAGCTAGCTATTTTGATTCAGAAAGTCAATCATGCGACAGAAAAAATTGATGGTGTTGTCATGGTAATGATTAGAGTGCTGTAACAGTGCACCTGTAGTCCATTACGTTGATCAGTATTATCTCTCCTCGATAATCACTTGACTTTTCCAAGACTATTATACTTCTGTTCAATGGCCATCCACTGATGCTATATTTAGAACCGTAGATTAGCTGATTTAGTAATTTGATTCCACGTAAATATTTTAGCACCTGATACACACCAAATATACAGTTTGCATTCAAGGCCGTCTGAACCAAATTCAAATTTTGCATGTTAAGGCTCATATATGCAATGCATTATGGGAGATAAACTTCTATTGTACATAATTCAAAACTACAGTAAAATCTGTATTAGAAGTCGCATCCCTAATAGAAGTCGCATGAATTCTTTTTGAATAATTGAGAACCAAAAATTCATCATTTCTCATGTGTAGATGCTCTAATAGAAGTCACATCCCTCTGTTGCATTGTACCATTTTAATAGAAGCCATGGCTTCTAATACAGATATTACAGTAGTATTACCCTGAAAACTCACTAAATTATATATAATTTTCTGAAATGATTTCACAATGTTGGATTTTATATCAATAATAATATACAATTTTTATCATCCCATGTCAAATTTTGAGATATGAATACCGAGTAAATAATCTCACTATAGAAACCAATGTAAAAACAACACATTTTAACTATTTTTCATAATATTACAGATTTGTAGAGCTCAAAAAATTCCCAATTTTTTTTTCCTGTTTTCAGTATTCTGATAAGATAAACTCATAATAATGAAAGTATGACGACCATGACATATAATCTTCAAATGCTTTGACCTTCCTTAACCTTCTGAGCATCAAAGACAACTTTATAGTCTGCTCTTTTCCACAGAAAATTTAACAAAATTTTTTGATCAGAAACTAGAAGTAATGACAAATTTTGTCAACATTTGGTCAAAAATTACACCATGTTGAGTGGAAAAAAAATACGACCCTCAAAGTGTTAATAGCTTATTATTTTAAAAACCTTTGCCAAAGTTGCACTTCAGTGGATTAATTATAATTGCCATTCATTTGCAGTGAAAATGGTAGTTCTGTGCATTTGCCACACCATCCAGTAAACCCATACAACAAAGTCGATAACAAAACAAATAATCTCAATGGCCGAGGTGAGTCTCAATAAATCTGATATACATTATGTTCAAATCCACAGTCTCGCTCCACTTTTGTCTGCTCTGGGTGCTCTGGGCTAGTTTGGTAATTGTGTGCCAGTTGTGCCTTCATTTCTTCTTCATTTCATGTTCCCATGTTCTACACCAGGTGTTTCTTGGCCTTTATCTTTTTCTCTTCTGCTGTGGATTCCATTGCGATGCTTTTCTAGTGATGGTTTCGCTTCCTTTCCATAGTGTATGACCAATACATGTCTATCTTTTCTTCAGCTGATTCGTGGGAGATATCTGGTTACCAAAGTTCTTTGTTCGGCCACCATATTCCCAGTATTATTTTTAAGCAGTTTTTAATGGCTTTTAAAGAATTTTTCTGTTGCATTCTGAGGTTGTTTGCCAAGTCTCTGAGCCATAAAACAAAACTGATTTCACAGTATATATAACCACATTAATATCTGTGACATATTGTGTCAGAGGTAATATTTATGCTCACAAATATGTGTATGGTATATTGTTTTTTTCTATTAGAAGCACATCTCCAATAGAGATGCATATGAGCTTCAAATAGAGAAAATACAGTATAGAGGTTCATAGAATTACTGTTCTAAATACCTCATTGTTTTGTGTGTAAAGCCACCCTGACACACCCACAATTGCCACGAATAGTTTACCAACAGCTCACATCCAAATTGTGCAAACTCGTAGTGCCAATGCGGGAAAGTGTGTAAAATATGCACAAACCATGCATGAACTCGTCATGCCAGTTCGTGTTAATGTGGATGCTGATGGGCACGCATTCGTGAACTAGACGTGAACAGTGCAGGAGCCTCCCAGTTCGTGCCCCAAAATGGCATGACTTTCCATGACAAAATCGTGGCCAAAAGACGTGCAAGTGTCAGGGTGGCTTTTATACCCAATATTGGGAATGATCGAGTAAGGCTTATAGTTTCACTATGTGTTTTTTTTTCATTTACTCTTTGATACTGTCTACATTTTAGCAATTTTTACTTGTGTACTTACACTTGTCTTTTATTTTTTCTCAGTTTATAATGATATGAATAGATTTTACCCAGCAAAGGAATTAACAACAGATGAATTCAAGACAAAGCTTAAAAACATTGCCATTGAACGAAGTCAAATTACACTTGGAGACATTTTACAAGAAGGTAGGTGTTGAGGCTAAGCTGATTAAAATAAACTGTATTGTTTTTTTCTTCACTTAACTTTAATTACTGTTGTTGTCGTTTTGTTTTTATTGTGAAAGTCACACATAAATCTGACGAACTACCGCAAATGTCAAACAGGTAATTTTCAACGTCCACTCTAAATTTGTGTTTCAAATGAAAAAGAAGTAAAATATTCAGTGATTGGTTGAATAATTTAATCTGAAGTGATTATGCGAACAAAATCTCCTAAGACAGTACAGGGAGAGTATCGAACGACAGGCAGCGGGAAAGATGCACTGCATACTGTCAGAGTGCATACTTGTGGTATTCACATAATAACCTTATTATACCGGTATACATCTTTTCCTCCCAAGGATACATCATGGGAATGCCGAAATGTTTAGAACAGATTTAGCAAAGTACCCTGGGGGGTGTCATGTTTGTTTTTGTTGTTAGAGAGCGCTTATGCACGTAGTCGTTTCATATTTGGAATTTGCATTTCCTTATATGGTAGGATGCAAATACCAGAAAATTACGACATGCTGTAACTTTTGGCATTATGGTGACAGATGTATAATAATAGTTTATGTACAATAATAGTTTTTATCTTGTCGTCATTGTTCAAGCAAGTCATATTTGTCAACCATGGTTGTATTAATATCCACTATGTTTGATTGGGGGTATACATTGTACATATATTTTGATAGTGAATTAATTACATAATTTTTATTTGTTCCCTATTGATAACACAGTTGATTTATGATTAATTGCACTGATTAAAGTACTATTTTTATCATTGATAGGAACATTTGGTCGTATTTATCATGGTTATGTTGTTACATCCACCAAAGACAGTGAATCACAGCATGAAGAAGAAATAGAAGTATTTATTAAAACAGTTACAGGTAATGTTTAATTATCACCTTGTATATACCATGCATCATAATCAGACATTGTATGTTCCCCACAATTAATTGTAATACTGTAGAATACTTTATTTCCGCTTGGAATTTATTTTCACTAAATAAAATCCAGCAAATTTTTTCCTATGTCTCACATTCAACTCATCAAAAATCAGTGACAATAAATTCCATACAAAAAAACCAAAAAGTTTTTTCAGCAAAAATTAATTCCAGCTAAAATATTAAGAACTTATTAGATATGGGTAGATAACTTATATATCTATATACAGTGATTCTAATTCATATACAGTCAAACCTGTGTTAGTGACCACCTCTATACAAAGACCACCTGCCTATAGTGACCACTTTCATGCAGTGCCAAATCATAATGTATAATTTTATCATAACTCCTTCTTTTATAAAAATTAATTAATTATTCTCAATTTAGTATTCTGCAGTGCTGCTTGACCCATACTGTTATATGAGAGTATTTTTCAATAATACACCACACACCGTGCATTTGCAGGTTGATATTTGTGTTCAAAAATTAAGAATTTCAAGTAGATCCGAAAGCGCCAATTTCCAATTTGGCCAATGATACAGTGTTGGCCTGAACAATCTGCCTAGATTTGGTTATTACAGTTTGGATTGACTTTGTCATCGTCATCTGCATTTGTTGTACAACTTTTCACTCACTGAACAATTTCATTCCGTGGTTACATCGGTTCTATAATAAAAACAAATACAATCAGAACTTAAAGTTCACAATTCTAGCTCTCTATAGTAAAACATTAATTGCAGCGATTTAATTTTATTGGTTGAATTGTCTTTTCCATTTTAGATCAAGCTTCTGAAGAGCAAAGATCATTGTTAATCAAAGAGAGCTGCATGTTACATGAATTAAATCACCGAAGCATATTACCTATCATGTATGTTTGTTTGGAAGATGAAAAACAGCCATTGATCTTACTAGCCCACATGCAGTATGGAAACTTGAAACATTTTTTGAAAAATGGTCGAATATCTGATGCACATCAGGTAGGCATTGTAATTGTGGATTCTTGGATGAAAAAATAGGAAAATATATTAATACGCTAAATACAGACGTTGTACATTAAATAACTTGCAAGTGAAAAAAAGATGGCTGGGGGTTGCATTCTAGCAAAAAAGTGATTTGTTTCAAAAACAGTGTTTATTTTGTCTACTTTTATAATATTTTCTATAATTTCTTCTTTTTTTTTTATTTCAGGGTCTTTCAACTCGAGATTTAGTATACATGGGTATTCAGATAACGCGAGGTATGCAATATCTCGGCAAACAGAAAATCGTCCACAGAGATCTTGCTACGCGGAACTGTGTGTAAGTTAATGCAAGACCCCCCCCCCCCTCCCAAATGGAAGTACATGTCAGATTGATGCCATGCATTGCTATGTATTCATAGGAAGTTTGAGTCAAAATAAAGGGCAGTCATTGTGATGTGTCAAGTTCGATATGGGTCTCATCAATCAATTTATCCATCCCATCCTACTAGTTTGCTCCCAAAAAATGTGCAGTTTAATGATGATCTCATGTAAAGGGAAAACATTATCTCATTGAAAACACAGAATATAAATGATTCAAATTATAATATTCAAATATTGTCACCATGGAAACCAATACAACAGCATAGATTCTCGTGGAAAATTTCATTCAGACTCTCACATCTCAAACTGTTATACTGTGACCCAGTCAATGTTTTTTTGTATCTCAGTGGAGCATAACGCAGTTAATTTATTTAATTAATTGAAACTACATGTACGAAGAAAGTGATATTTTTTTCAATTTAATCAGCACATCAGTTACTTGAGATCAAACTAATATCCGACTTCTCTCTCTTAGAATTGACGAAGACTATAATGTGAAGATAACAGACAATGCGCTAGCAAGGGATTTATTTCCACAAGATTATACATGTCTCGGTGATAATGAAAACAGACCCGTTAAATGGTTAGCTATAGAGAGTCTTATAGAAAAGAAGTACCTGCCAACGAGTGACGTGGTGAGTTATCTCTCAATAACCTTGTTTTTAATGAGGAGATGCAAGTGTTTTGTGTATCAATGAATCTTGAAGTTTATTTTTAAAACACATACTCTAGACGGTTAGAGAAGTCCTGAGGGTAAGAGTAGGAGCATGCCCATGTAGATTTCTTTTATGAGACTACACATATTCAAAATTGGCCTTCAAAATTGTGACTGATTCACAATCAATCTTCTTGAAGATGACCAAGATTTGTGGAAATCATTTCTGAGTGATATGACTTAGGGAGTGGTACGGAAGCTCGATCATACCAGTATTGTCCTTTCTTTAGCGACACACTACAACTACTGTAGCATACAACAACAACTTGCTTTGTTGCCCTCAGACCGACCGACCCAATTTTTCAATTTTCCGACTTGAGGGCAACATTAGGTGGTTGTTTCTTTTGGCCTAATTACCAGTTATGTGAAAAGATTCTTAAAAACACTTGAATAATCAGATTTCAGTTGTAGTTTGTTGATTGTCCCTTTCATTGCATAGCTGTGAACAAAAATATATAGGTACCCCAGTATATATTTTTTCTGTACCATAATCACAATGACAAGCAAAATCCACATGGTAGATTTGATCTAGATTTTGTGGTGACTTTGTGTAAATTTTGCATTGTTTGCAGTGGTCATTTGGAGTTACATTGTGGGAACTGATGACCCTTGGACAGACACCGTATGCTGACGTTGACCCATTTGAAATGGCCGCCTATCTCAAGAATGGTTACAGAATGGCACAGCCTGCAAACTGTCCAGATGAGCTGTAAGTGTTCATACACATTCATTCAAATTTGTCTATCTGTATACTTTTAGAAACTTGGTCATAAATCACGTGACAGTGTGTTTTTTCGAGCCGTTATGTACAAGCTATGGTTATATTCTAATAATAAACAACATTCTGTATTTTGAGAAATTTAGCAGAATATTAACCATCATGTCTAAAAAAAAAAAATAGGCTATATTGTTTGGGAATTAAATTATTGATAAATTCTAGGTACATGTATTTTCATTACTGAGTAGACTTTTAACTTAATATCTATTTTTAACCTTCCTGAAATAAGCAAATGCATGTCATGCTGCTCTTCAACAATATTAACATTTTCTTCCGATTGAAATGACTTTTATCTCGTCTTTATCAAACTTGCAAAATAATAACTATTTTAATATGGCATTACTAGTATTTTTCATTATGGAAACCATGCAATCCCAATTTTTTGCCACAAGGGAAAAATTTATTACAGAAACATTTTTGGATATATTATCAATTTTTCAAATTTAGTCCTCCCAGAGTCTATTAAAATACCATAGAACAGAAGATTTAAATGTTTTCACAACTTAATCAGCTATTGTGTATTGTGTACCTTTACCCTGTCACCTGACTGCTGGTCAAAGGTCATATGGCAGGGTACGATTTTAACAGTAATGCTCATTTATTCCACTTGGCAGATAGCTAATGTTGTTGTTTTTTTATAGGTTTTCGGTGATGGCCTGCTGCTGGGCCCTCTCGCCAGGCGATCGACCAACATTTGCCCACCTTCTCTCAATTTTAATGGATTTTCATCGAGCTCTGGGGATATATATCTAATCAGAAATCTTTCTAAGCATCCGGGACGCAGAGCATTTTCACGTTTTTACTCGGATATCTATGGTTTGCATCAAGTCCAGTGGAGCCATCAGTTATCCTGTTTGATTCAGGATTTTGCTACTTGTGGACTGCAAGCGGAAACTGACATTGGATTGATTATGCAAACAAATCTGCTTTCACTGCTTTCACGGTTACAGTGTCTTCAGCCATATTGACTGACTTTTTCTTTGTTTACATGGAAGTTCACTGTTTGTACAGTATTTATACCAGACAATTTGTGCTACATTGTGACATACATGTTTGCACTTAGTTTTTAAAATCCTGGGGTCACTGACCTCATTGACTGCAGGGCATGATGGGAAATATTAATTATCATGCAGAGGATGTGTGATACATCATGGCACTGGTAATAAAAGAACCCGATCTGTAATACCAAAGGGAACTCTGCAACCATGTTGAACTAATTTGCACTGCAGTAGCTATACAGATGTAAAAGATAACACTAGCCAAGATCTTGGAGATTATCCACATTGTGCGTGCTTGTTTTTATGTACATGTAAATATCTATATATATTTTGAGAAAAAAAAAACTTGTGCCAAAATGTCATTTAAAAAAAAAAAGATTCTTTACCAATACATTTCTTGCATGTAGTGTATGTACATCATTGCTCACTTTCATGGATGTGTGTTCAAATTAATTTTATTTTGTAATATTTTGTACGGTTTAACAAGGTATTTCAAAGTTATACAGTGCTCTGACTACTGCCTTTAGTTTGATAAATATTCACTTGTAGTGGCCAATAAACTTTACCTAAAATATTTGAGCTCAAATTGTTCAAATGATCAAGAATATTTGAATATGTATTGATTTACAGTCATATTGTTCTCTTATACTTTTTTTAATAACTTCGCAATTTTTTGGCATATAATGAACTAGCCATTTCCTGTTTTGATCAAATTTGTGTAGCTGTATTTAATGTTTCTCATTTTCTACCTTCTCTTCATGTTACCATGGCAACCACAAGCTGATTCAGGGTATCTTTTTATTTACATACTGTGATGTTTTTTTTGCATGTATTTATTTTAGTTTTATTTATTATTATTATTTTATAATAGTTGTTTGAATAGTACTGATCTGAAAATGCAGTATCATTCACAACAAACTTTTGTTTCCCATGCTGTATAAGGTGAAGTATGGTAGTTCCCACCAATTGTTATTTCCCTGGTTACGTATTTCCTAAATCAAATCAAGACACAAAGAGCGCCCTCTTGAGTTGATTTATTTATTACATACAAAAATTATGGGGGCGCTCTTTCATTTTTTCTGCTCTGTAATAAATTTTGGCATTGAAGCGGAGGACGTCCAAATAGAGCTCAGAGTTTTAAATATATTTCAATGCTTTTTCTATTACTCACTTCTGAACCAGTGAATGTCAGATTTTTATCTTTCTTAAACTTTCTCTAAAAATCACATTTATTTAAATGTTGTGTACATATAGTTTTTATCCAGACTTTGTTATTTACTGTATGAAGTAAATATAAATATCACGTTTCTTGTTGTACATGGCTGTTTATATTGTTTTCACACACCCCCTCCCCAAATGCATATGAATGTAATGAGAATGTATAGGAGTATAGAAACCTGTCATTGTTTTTATCAGCGATTAACTTTAATTTTAATACCACTATGGTAATCTTCGGGGGCGGACATCCGGGCATTTTCTACCGCCTGGCAACCCTCACGGTGAAAACAAAGACCCAAAACCCATAGAAAACGGTACTTTGCGATGGTTGTTGAGAGTCCCCTGAACAGTGTAACAAGATTATCCCTATGTGTGTAACATATATAAATTTGGTTGTTCAGGATTACTTCAAAGTTGAGTTTGTGTTATTTTCTCGATTTTTCACCGGCTCCACCGGCGTTCCACAGCAGCGCGCACAAAGTCCATAGAAATACGTGGTACAGTGATGCGCGTCTTAGCAACGTAGAACGTCCGTGACGTAGCTCCGCCCCGAGGATACGTGATAACATTGAATGAATGAGAATGTTCATTTAAGTATTAGGCTTGCTGTACATTACTTTTGAGACTCAACTTATGGCAGCGAACAACATTTCACTGGAGTTGTAATGACTTCAGGCTATTTTAAAACAGCTCCTGTATTTGTGGTCAGAAGAAACTATTTTTAGCTCTTGGGTTATATTCAACAGGCAAGGTCAAGGTAAATTGAACAAAATCATGACAAATTCAACAAATAGTGTGTGTACAAATATTTATAGATAAATTTTATGCTACA